TACTTTTGTCTTACTCCAGCTGTATGAGTGAACACTGTCATAATATAATCATATCAAAACTTGCCTTACAGTTTTACCCCTGGGTCATGTTCACTGACTGCTTATAAGTTAACACCTAGTGGTTATGAATGGGGAAGACAGAATACAGATAAAGGCAACAATCCTAAAGGCTATCTACCATCTCATTATGAGAGAGTACAAATGTTGTTATCAGATCGATTCCTTGGCTTCTTTATGGTGCCCGGACAAGGATCATGGAATTACAACTTTATGGGTAAGTAAATAAACCCACGCTTTCCAGTATTCGTGCCTGTTAGTTTGAAAGATGACATGCATGTCATTCAACTGTATTCCATTGGAGCAAAACCCTTATTATAGCTTTATCGTTTGTATTGAATTCATTTTTCTGATATACCCTAACAATGTAAAAATCCAAGAATTAACATCATGATATTGTTTAGTCTTAACAATTATTCACTGCATAACAACCGTTCTGAAATAGCCTGTCTTCGTACAAGCTTCACTGGACCACAAACATGTGTTGAGTGGAAGCAAGAAATAAATTATGTGCAGTTTCCATTGATATTCACATGAATGTATTATTATTTTTCAGGTGTTCGACATGACCCTAATATGAGGTATGAATTACAGCTGCCAATCCAAAAGAATTTTACCATGAAGTACACAGACCATCACATTTCCTGAATTTCAGTTCAATAGAAGAGGGTGATGCTATGGAACAGATAGAGAAGATCTCTATGTATAGAAGAGGGTGTGGTTACCCAAACCAATAGTGAAGTCTGTAGTATTTGTGTTAACCATCAACTTAATCTAAACCAAACAATTCAGAAATATTTAAATGAATATGGTCACTCACTCTCATCAATAATAGATGAAACACTAAATCAGGTTTCTTGATAGCTATAAATTGGCTAACCATAATACAGCCACACATTGAGATGTGAATTGATATTGGGTCATGTGATTCTCAAAAGGAGATGTGGGAGGGACACAATTGCGTTTTAAAACTTTTTTATGAGCTACACACTTTACAGAGTAATGTTTTAGTAGTGATGGCAATTAATTAAAATTAGGAGTTATCACTCAGGGTCTCCCTGTGTGAAATGGTATATTCCTGATTTAATACCAACTGCTCACTCATCTTGCAATATGGGAAAATAAAGAAACCAGGGATGAGAATGAGAATTTTAATTTTCAGCTGAAAGTGTAAAGTAGCCGGGGTCTGAGAACCAATAGCCTTTCCCAGGACCTCTCGCGTACCGATGAAGTAACTCAATTTTTCAGTTACCACTTCATCTTTCTTCCTGATTCGCATGGTCAAAGTCACTTTCTTGTCAAGCCATGCCCAACAAAATTTGGTCCTAATGTCTTTATTGATCTCTCGCACAGCTGACCCGTTGTCTTTCTTAACCAATTTCACCATTATTGCTTCATGAAACTTGTAAACAACGATTGAAACAATAAAATGGTGTCGTTGGTGAAAAGCAAAATGAAAACTCTTCACTGATTGACTCAGCCAATCATGTTAATAGTTACATATTACTTTAAAACTTCAAAACCACTTCGGATTTTTCAATTACACTGATGAAAAGTCGCGAACATTCAGCATTGGAGACACCGCGAGCTGTCTCCCTTCGACCATTCACTGATACAGTCCTCTTGCAGCCGACAACAATGATCCAACAGCGTGTTCACTTCTGGTGAATGAACAAGATTTGTATTCTCACCCCTCTAAAATTTTCTCTTCAAATTTATACGTTTCAGAAAATCGGTCCCTGGAGCTTAGAAATCTGCGGAAAATTCTCATCCCGGAGAAACTTGCCCATTTAGGTTGGATGGTTCATTATTTCGATCAGCAGCAAAGCTAACCACTTACCATGATTTGGGATACTAAGATGGAATCTCTATCATCAACTTGTAATAGCACACGCAATTCATTGTGAAATTAAAGAAAAGAAAAAGTAAATTAATATCAAATTCCAGGTATGAAATTAGAGTGTCCGTTCTTCAATATGGTGTGACCTGCAATCAATTCACATTACAATGTGTAGCTGTATGGTTAGGTAATTAGCTGACATTATTGCTTATTTGGTGTACAATCTATTATTGCCATGAGATATCATTCCGTTCTTAGTTTTAAAAAAAAAGTTTCATTACTACTCTAAAGACCCTGTACAGTCTGCCTCATGTCAGGCTCGAAGTGAGGATGTGATGTC